ATGAACACAGGTGGGTGTGGGTTTAAAAGAGTTTACATTTTTAACAGTTTGACAGCACCATTTTGTTCACACTGTGGATTTCACTGGGCATTCCAAGAAATCCTTCAATTTCTTCTGTTTAAGAACTGAAGTGTTTCTGTTGCATTGTGAGGCAGTAACAGAGTATTATTCTTATTACTCCTGGAGACTTCTGGAAATTTATAAGCACATAACTGAGGGAAAAAAGAGATTATAGACAAAAGAATCATACAATGATTACACAAACTTTAGTATTTTCTGCATATTGAGCAATAACTCTTACATTGAACCGCGGTGTAATATAATATGGCTTCCAGGAACCATTCTATCAAATTCATTATAACATACTTAATCACTCCATCAGTATATTCATTCATTGAGACAGTTCTGTATTAGAGTAAGGTTAATTGTCTTGACATAAGATTAGAAGATTTTGACTGCAACCAAATGTCTTGAACAAGCAGTTGTGAATTTCAGAGTGCTGTATGTTAACTTAAAGTACCATTCAGTTACTATTTCCTGCACTTGGTTTAAAACTAGGACATTCCTGCATAACACATTTCCAATGCTGTTTAGAAAGAATTGTAGTTTACTCACCTTGTATATATAACTTATGTATCGTTTATTGGCTCTTTTTATTTTAGGTGTACACACTTCATTCTTTAGCAGCTTCACTTTCTGCATCCATTTATCAAGCACTATGTGACAGCCACAGCTACAGGTAAAACCAGAAGTTTTCTTACAGTCCTACATTTGGAGTATTTGGAGTAAGGTGTTAAATATCTGTGTATGGGTATAAATACTTATACAGTTTACACATTGCTAGCTTTGATATGCCAGATCAATTTTACACAGATATAACACCACCAATCATTCAGATTTTTTCCAATAAGTAATAGGTAAGTCTGGTGTCACTCTCACTTTGGATGCTTCTGAAAAATATTTGAATGCTGTTTTCCAAAGCACATCCATTGCTGAATAGGGGTGCAGGGGAAACATTGGAGACTAACTGAAGTCAAGTTTCAGGCAGTTTATATTCCAAACTGGAACTGGAAAAGAATGCTGTAAAAAAATTTTTTAAAAAGTCTTTCAGAACAAATATATTATTAAAATTTTTGAAAAATATTTTTTCATATCTGGAGTTATGCACATCACATTAAATGCTTAATAAAAATGTATTTTGTATACCATGAAATGATAAAAATCTTTACTTAGTTTTATAGACTTTTAAATGTTGCATTTTCTGATTAAAATGAGAAGCATGTATATATACTGTACTTTATTACAAAAATATTGTAAAATCCTTTCTTATCAGAAAAAAATTAATTTGTATTTAGCAGTCAAACAGAAGCAAATCAGTTTACAGGAATGGTTTATCAAGGACTGCTTTTGAGTGATCGACGCAGACTGAGGACTGAAAGTATTGAAGAGCATGCAACTCCAAACTCATCTCCTGCTCAGTGGCCTGGTGAGACAAAAATAAGGTTACTTTTAGCACCACTGGACCAGCTCCACATTTCAAAATTATCTCACTGTCCTGTAATATGATGGATGAAACAATGGATGATCAATGATGGATAAATGGTTTTGATTTAGTTCTCAGATTAATAACAGCCTTTAACTTTTTCATGTATCAAAACAAATAAAAATAAAATTTCTATCTGGCAAACATCTTGCTTGAAGAAGAGACCACGATCTTTAGGATAAATTCAATAAGCTGATAATTTGTCATCCTCGAACATTTTTCTCCAGTCTGCCTCACCCCCTAGCAAAGCTATTTCTGTTAGCTGTTCTACAGTACTGTCTTACATTTATGCGTTACTTGGTATAGCTATCAAAACAACTACTCCAATGTACGAGCATAAATTTAGTATTTTGAGGTCAACTGTGGAAACAGTGCAGGAATTTCATAGGCAAGCTGAACTGCCCGTAGTGTTTGCAGAGAAGTACAACGCAGAAGTCCCAGGCCTAAGAAGGCTTTTTAAATTTTTGATCTTTATGATTTTAAGAAAAATGTTAATAGTATGTTTCATGTGAATAAAAGTATCATGTGACTATCAGTACATGTTTAACACAAAATGTAGAGGTGAAACATTTCCTTTTTTTCCATTTGTACTCCTACTCATTTAACATAGAACTTTTCCTCTTTTCTCTTTGCAGGTGTGAGTTCACTTATAAATCTCTTAAGTTCAGCTCAGGATGAAGATCAACCAAAGTTAAACATCCTACTTTGTGAAGCTGTTGTAGCTGTCTACCTGAGTCTCCTTATACACGCCCTTGCAACCAATTCATGTAATGAATTATTTCGACTAGCAGCCCATCCTTTGAACAGTCGAATGTGGGCTGCTGTGTTTGGTGGAGGAGTGAAACTTCTTGTAAAACCTCGAAGGCAGTCAGAAAATATTCCAGGTACTTTGTTCTTTAAAAGTCATGCTAATGATTTGCATTTTATACCTTTTAGTAAGCTAGTAGGCCAGAGTTCCTTCCTTTTAAAGACAAAACCCAAGCAAGCAGAATTTAAGTATCTACTGGCAAGAAAACTGTTATATTAACTAAAAAGCAGAAAAATATTAGTCTTGCAGTTGTCCTTTGTAAGGCATCCAGCACATTCTGAATTTGCCATAAAAACTGTACAGTTATTATATTGCTAATATTACTATTAGATGCTTACTTATAACACTTCTCAGGACTTCCAGTCATTTTTTTTTTAGACAGTATAAATTAGTGTTAATACCTATGTTTTTCTTTACATGAGAGATGAATGTTATTGTTTAACCACTACAGTAACTTGGAAACAGTATTTCTGAAACCAATTTCTACTGCAAGGTATGATTTCACCTTGCACAAGACCACAGAGGAGAAATATCAACTTGATCTGTCAGAAGAATAGTTCATGTAAGCTCTAACTAAAACCAGGAATTTTATAAAGAGATGAGTATGTCTTAATATACCGCGTGAGGAGAAGCAAAAGTGAAGATTGAATTCAGGCTCTAGAGACAAAGACAAATACAACCATTTGTCATAGACTTCACACTGCAACAATACTGAAAATCATGTCACACAGACTTTCAAAATGATAGGCTTGAAAATTATACAAAAATTAGATGTTCCATATCTGAAATGTAAAACAAAACAATAATAAGGCAATGCACCATTATAAGCATGCACAAGAGATATTTGTCATTCATGGAATAACTTTAACTCATTTAGGGCAGTTATTTTCACAAGATGTTAATATGAATAACTTATGTCTTCATTTGAGATGTATTCTGTTTTCCTTTAACTTACAAGCTGCTACAGCTTCTGATGTTTCAGAGGATGGTAACGAAGGTTTGTAAAAACTTGCAGTGTAGATGAATGTTAGTAGTGGCTTTTTAAAAAAAAGTTTTAAAACATCTAGCTCCTTTGTAATAAAGTAAGCGTAATCTTCAATGTTGCCTGGCCAATAACACTTTGAAAAACAAATTCCACATTAGTATCTTGATAACTATTAAGACATTTTAAATCATAACACTTTAAAATATACTTCAGTTGTCAAAAAGCCTGTCTCTCTATTCAAATTTTCTTTGCTATCTTAAGAGTTCCTTGGCTTATATTTTGAATAACTACTGTTACTTGTGCAGTTTACAGTTTAGTGAAATTTTATGTATTTTATTTCTCAAAACTTCTTCATTTCCTGAGAAATTTTTCAGCTAAAAGCTTTTTACTTAAAAGCTACATCTCTTGAGAATTTAATCCAGATAATAAATTGTATTTATCATGATATATCCAATGTATAAATGCCACATTTATTGAATTAATCATAAGTGAACTTTTTGTATGATTACACTTACTTTGTTTAGACTGGCTTTGATTTCTGAATCAGTAGAAATTAGTACCAATAACAATAGTTTTAGTTGCTTCAATTATAAAATGCAGCCATTTCTAAAGACACAATATTAATATCAGCTTTCCAAATTACCTGAATTTAGCACCACCTCTTCCCTCAGAAGAAATGGATAAACATCGCCGTCGGTTTAATATGAGAATGCTAGTGCCAGGAAGACCAGTAAAAGACAGCACTGTACCACCACCTGTACCTGCAGAAAGACCCTCTTACAAGGAGAAATTTATTCCTCCAGAACTTAGCATGTGGGACTATTTTATGGCAAAGGTAATTTAAAATGGAAAATATAAGTTAGAGTTATAAAAGCACATTTCTTCTCTGTTAAGTTTTAAAGGACAAAAGTACTGTGAAAACGTTGAGTGCTCTTCATGGTAAGCTGCGGAATATTATCTTCGTAATAAAAGGTGAAGAGCCTACAAGTCTATCTCTTCACTTTCAAAACATGTCTCCTGCCAATAATCAAGATTAACACTTTCCTCCTTGCTACTTGTTTATGTTTTAGGGGAACTTATTTATAGGTTAAGTTGTTGTCATTTAAACTCTATGACAGTGACAACTAAAGTAAGAGTTGAGTATTAAGACATCAGAAAATTGCTTTTATACCAGACTTTTATTATTTTGCAGCCATTTCTTCCTTTATCAGACAGCGGTGTTATATATGATTCCGATGAAAGCATACACAGTGATGAGGAAGAGGATGATGCTTTCCTCTCTGATGTACAGATCCAGGAACACAAAGATGCCAATTCTTACAGGTTAGCAGAAATTGCCACTATTTTAGAATAATTATGTCATGTGCTTACCTTTGCTTCCACATTAAAGAAAATACAGGTCCTCTGCACCATCCAGTTGAAGTCAAACAATTTTAGTACTGTGGATAGACTTAATTCTGGCAATGGGATTACAGAAGCGACAAATTCTCATCACAGTAACAGTTCCCCATTTACTTGCCTAAAAAATGGGATTAGGAAGTCAAAACTGTGTGGTTTGTGGTTTTTGGAGAGGAGGGGAAAAAAACCCTATCTTTGTTTTTTAAGACACAAAGAACATGAGGTACCACAATGCCAGCTCTAGAATGACATTTTAAACTACTGATTCAATCATGATCTTTAGTTTTTAAATGAGAGGTAGATTAAATAGAACACTTAAAAGATAAAATGTTGCAAGATAAAATGAAATTAAGTGAATGACCTCAGCATTTTAACAATGGAGAAAAATGACGGCTCTTTTATGTGTTCTTCAAGTCTCTCATTAGTCCTTACGGCTATGCTGTATAGGATTGGTGCCTTTACTATCTGAGAGACTCTTTCGGTGTGAAAGCTTCTGCCATGAATGCCAAACTCAAGCCATGTCTTGTCTTTATTCATCGTGATTTCACGGAGAACGTCAGGAGGTGTTTCAGGGGGCTTGTACTTAATTCTCAGTCTTGCAGAGGCTCACACATGCACACTCTTATCTGGAGGAAGAGGACAATAATCTGGGATTTGTAAAAGAGAGATGGGGATACTATCAGTTACAGCAAGGTGCCCTCAGAGGCACCCTTACATTGCATAGTTGATATAGAAGTAGCTTTATGTATCTGGTAAACCTCAGTGAACCATCTACACTGGTTTTCTAAACCGTGTATTTGGTAGAATGAGAAAAATATTCTGCAGATAACTGTATTAACATTGTTTTAACATAACTAAATCTATTCTTTTTATACAGCTGGGCTCTTCTACATCTGACAATGGTAAAATTAGTTCTGCACAATATTAAGAACTTCTTTCCCATTGCTGGTCTGGAATTCACTGGTACGTTAAATTCTGCTTTACATTTTAGTTTTCTGTATAAGTGGCTTTCTGTCAGACTTTGTTTTTTAATTTTTAAACAATTTAAGACATTATTTTTTACAATTGTCAAGAAGTACATTTCTTTTCAAGATTTTTTTTTTATAGTTGTATTATTCTGGGTTTTTGTACACACTGTAACTTAAATGATTTTTTTTTTCCTCTAAGCCTTACTTTATTAATTTTTCTGTTTAGATCTGCCTGTAACATCACCATTGGGCATTGCTGTAATAAAAAATTTGGAACACTGGGAACAGATTCTTCAAGACAGAATGGACCAGTTTGAAGGCCCACCACCAAACTACATCAATACTTATCCTAGTGACCTTGGCTTAGGTGCAGGCCCAGCTATTCTCCGCAATAAGGCAATGATTGAACCTGAAAACACACCATTCAAGTAAGTATTTTTTTCCTAGCAAAAACACATTCTTCGATCGTAGAAATAATAAAGAGTATTTCCACCTAAAGTTAAACAGCCAAATGAAGGTTAGCTAGATCTTAGTTCTAGCTAGTGCTTTACAGAAACTACTTTCCCACATCCCTTTGTTCCTTCTTATGCAGCTGTCTCCTGCAGCAGCCTTTACTTATTCTGCTGCACCTTTCACAGCTGCAGAAAGGAAGGAAAATAATATTTCTTGATATTTGCCTTGCACAAATTAGAGCTTAAACTTTGGTTGTGTGTTTTTTTCTTCAAATTGGAATTTCATGTAAAGTCATTCAGAGTCTTTCTTTAGATTTTTTTTTTTGGTCCACTTTTAATTACATTGAAGCTTTTTTTTTTTTTCTTCTTCTTCTGTTTTATCCAGATCAAAGGATTATTCAGCTCTCCCAGCAAAAAGGCTCTGGCATTTTCTTGTGAAGCAGGAACTTCTTCAGGAGACTTTCATAAGATACATATTCACAAAGAAAAGAAAGCAAAGTGAGGTAAACAAAGGATGTAACTTATTTTTAAAAGAAAGCTAAATTATAACTGTTCCTCAGTCTCTTCAGTATTTCTTTTAATTTTTCTTTCCCTTTTTTCGTTGGCATTTCAATTTCCTTTCTGTCATTTAACAGTGTTTGGATTTTTTTTAAAATCAACATGGCCATCATGTTGTTTATTGAAATATCAACTGAACCAAATATTTTTAGACAAGACATATCGCACCTTACCTTTATGTATTTGAATATTGTCCTAATTAAGAAACAGAACATTTGCAATAACCGTAATGAGTAAATAAATTTGAGTATTCATATCATATTTTTGTGTCATATTGAAAAAGAAATTTAAATGAGCTATTACTTTGTGTATATGTATATATGCATGAGTATTATATACATATAAAAGTAATATTATATAGTAATATATAATATGGGGCTTTACGAATTGTACCAGTTAAAACTGTAATGAGTTCTAACTGAAAATTTAAACCAACACATAAGTACCATGGGAAATAAGTATACTATTTAATATCTTTAAGAATTCCTGTAAGTATGGAGTTTGTGTGTGTATTACTCCTCCATTTATTTACTATATCATACATTTTGTGTTCATCTAGGAGGCATTACATTTTAAGTGAGTTTGTTTAGATTCCTGTCTTAGTTTCTGTGCCTTTTATAAAAAGTTAAAAATACATTTGTCATCATTTACTGACAGAGTGGCCTTTAAAATCTAGTTTGGAATGTTTCATTCTTTTTTTATATTTGTTTGTGCATGTGTTTTGTGTTTGTGACTGTGTGATGTTATGTAGTCTGTAGAAGATCGTGTGGAGCAGGTCAAACAAAACTGCGTAGCAGAAGATCACAAAAACAAGGTAGTATCCCTTCTCCCAAACCTCTAGCACATTCTTAAAAGTTCTGTGGAACTGGCTTTTCTTTCTCTAACCTGACTAACAGAAGCTATATGTTCTGTGTAGTCTGTGTGGCAGGCTTTTAATCTGTGAATTAACTTTGGATGTCCTGATAATTGGGATGAGTGAACACCTTGTAAATAGTGTTGCACACACAACTTTGTGTTTCTTAGACTCAAATATGACTTTTGGCTTCTAGAACACCAAAGAATATGAGAAGTCTAAAGTTTAGCTTCCTAAACAATGCTGAGGCCACTGAACTTTTCTTGCATGAATTTTGTATAGATTTTTGCAGTCTGAATGTACCACTACAAAATGGATTTTCATGCTAATTGAAATTTCTCATAAATGTTTTGTAGGTTGAAGCAGATCTTGGCTACCCTGGAGGAAAAGCAAAAATCATTCACAAAGAATCAGATATGATAATGGCATTTGCAGTTAATAAGGTAAGCCTCAAATACTACAATAAGTGCAATAAATAGATCTTAATTATAGTTAGTATAAATTTTCTATTTGTGCTTCATAGGCAAACAGCAATGACATTGTTTTGGCATCTACACATGATGTTCAAGAACTTGATATTTCAGCTCTACTGGCTGCTCAGTCGTTTATATGGATTGGGGAGGAATATGACAGAGAGTCTAAAAGGTAGGATTGTTTCTTTGTGGTTATATTAAAAGCATTGGTTTACTGTGAGGCTGCGTGGATAATACCTCTGTAAGCGCAAGTGGATCATACAAAAACCAGTTAATTACTCTTCTTCAGCAGGTTTCGGAGTGCCTTACAAAGAAGTAAGGGAAGGCAAAAGAATAATTACTGTCTGTTTCAGACATGGAGAAACTAAGGTTTTGAGGGGTCTGAGTATTTTGGGCATGCGTACACTGCACAGTGAAGTAAAATCCCATGGTGCCTAAGCTAATAAAGGAGGTGCTACCTTAGAAACACTGCAGTTGCACCCTTGCAGTGATGAGGCTAGCTGTGGTAGCTGATGCCAGTTGTACAACGCAACAGTCTAAATTACTGTCTCCTCCATTATTGTGCTGAGCGAGAACTGTGAATGTATCAGCTGCAGCAAGCACTCATCTGTACCACACTCCATTGCACAGAACAGATACGTACATGTATATAGACATGCAGGTCAGGAATATTCCAATATTCTTCAAGAGAGCTTATATTCTCACCATCTATCCACAGTTAGGATCATTTGTTGAGGTTAAACACCAACAGTTTTGGAGCATGTGGAAAGCATTTGTACAATGTAAGTGCAGCAATTACCAATTTATAGTCTCATTATAGAATCACTTCCTCCACCCACTGCCATTAGGGTCTTGACAATGAGATAAGCAAACAGCATTGGTAGCAAAGAAACATTAGTTTAAAGCAGAACACTGCTGTTCTTTTACAGCTCTGATGATATTGACTTTCGTGGTTCTACCACAACACTAACTCAGTCAACTGCACCATCTTTTGGAGTGAGTCAGATACAACCATCTTCATCTATGCCATGGTTAGGCAGCGGTCAAACTAGCACTGGAGCTGGTGTGGTAAGTAGCCTTGTTGCATGCAGCTCCGGACACTGTTACTTTTTTTTGGTGTATTATTTAATAGAGAGACCTAGTGTGCATTAGTCATCATACTGTTAATTCCATGTTGACATAAAAGGCCTATAATGACCAAGACCTGGCCAAAAAGAAGGCCAAACTAAGCATTTTCTTGTATATTGTGGCACAGAATTATTGAGACATAGAAAATAACAGGACAATCAGGTTTTTCTCTTTCTTGTGGGAACTTTGAGATAGGAGCTGGACTTTCTGGGGACAAAACAAAACAAAGCCAACCAGAACAATCCCAAACTTTAAATTCTTGCATTGGGACTAATATCAAAAGCATATGCATCAGCATGTGTGTAAGTTCTTTGTATAACAGAAGATAATACTATTTGAACTTTCATGTCTAAAAAAACTGTCATAAAGAGGCTTTAATTACTATACTGCAACTAAACATAATTAGATGCAAATAATGTTATCTTAACAGTTTTTTTTTAACTGGGGGACACTCACTATGTAGTAATATAAACAAAATTGAAGAGTGTGTTTGTGTCTTTTTTTCAAAGTTATTTTTATTTGTTTTATATGAAGCTTATTAAAAGAAATCTGAATAACGTCAAGAGAATGGCTTCACATCCAGTCCATCAGTATTGTAAGTGAATCACACTTACTAGTACAGAGTAGATAATTTTCTATAAAATACTGTAGTATTAATGAACCTCTATCTTTTAATCTTAGATCTTACAGGAGCACAAGATGGTAGTGTTCGAATGTTTGAGTGGACAAGGCCACAGCAATTAGTATGCTTCAGGCAGGCTGGGAACGCCAGGGTTACAAGAATGTATTTCAATTCCCAGGGCAATAAGGTAAGTACAACATTTAGGATTTTTCCCTCCGTTTGTTGGGTTTTTTTTGTTTTTGATTTTGTTTTATTCATAAAGAAACATTTGGTTGTGCTGTGACATCTAAAAGAGGTGACACACAAAACGGTTAAGATGTCCTAGAATGATGGCATAAGCAAGATCATATTCATTCTGGCTGCTTATGGAAACTTTGCAATAAACGCTGACCCTTACTCTCCTTTCTCTTCTGGCAGCTTCATACTGCTATCCCATATCCATTTGCCGCATTTTCAGACTTTTTGTTCTCCCTATTCTGAAATCTATGTTCCCATGTGGTGACTTCTTTAAATTAAACATTTAAAAAAAATATTGAGCTTACTTATTTTGTAGAAGCAAATTTGTATCAATCTAGGCACAGGTCTTCAAGAAGTGCTTCGCACTTTGTATTCTGACCAAGATAAAGTTTTGAAAGAATGCATTACCTAGAAGATACATACAATACAGCCTGTTAGTTGAGGAATGTACATATACTCCAGTACAGTGGAGAGCAGAAAGAGAGTACAAGAGAGCCATACAAAATGACTCTGTGAGGTGCAGAAAACAGAGCGGACAAAAAGAAATTGTGAGGAATACCCACCTCTGCAGTTTTTCATGTTGTCCATTCTGTTATTTTAACAGGGCTTGTCTACGGTTTACTTACAAACTATTTAACTTCATTAAAGTTAAAAGTCATGAAAAGTTAATTCAAGGAGTTTGGGCACATCTGTAAGATAACTATAAAACAAAGGTCAACAACAGGACAGAAATAGCTGGAAATATGAAGTATCTCCCAGCATACCTATTTTCAGGTAGCATAAAATCTCATTTAAACTTTTTTTAAAAGTTTGTGATTTGATTATATTTTGAGATATTGCAATCTTAACATCCCATGGGAATCAATTTTAAGTAAGAAATTAAGATGTACTAGTTGTCCCAGCTGCTTCAGATGGAGGTCACTCAGGCAGGACTCATGAAACCTGATGAAAAGGAGAAAAATATAAAAAATAATTCTAAATATTTCTAAAAACATTTTGTAAAATACTTATAGGGTATGCTTTATAGAATATACATTATTACTTATATTTGTTAACTGAAATACATAACAACTCAGTCATTTTACCATTCATGATATAGTACAGTCCTTCCATAATTATTCTTATCATGCTTTTATGGCATGGTGTCATGCATCTTTCTTTACTGAGCATTTTCAGATAGAGTCATGGAGTAACGATGCCTCTGTAAGCTTTCACATTTAACAGTAAGATTTGAAAGATAAGTTTCCATACTTAAAAAGCCTCCATTTCCAGAAAAGAGTTAGGGTACATAGCAGAGCATCAATCATTAAATAATCATTAAACAATCAGCACTGAACTCACTTGGCTTCTAAATTACTTTTTTTTGTACCCAATAGTCATTGCTGTTGATATTTAATGTGCAGGCAATGATTTGGTGTTTCAGATGTTTTTTTTCCTGAAGTCAGCTGTTTACTGTCATGAAGTAAGCATCCAGTAACCAGTACATTATGCTAATAAATGCAGTTCGTTCCTTGCAGTGTGGTGTTGCTGATGGTGAAGGATTTCTAAGTATTTGGCAAGTAAACCAAACCACCTCCAATCCTAAGCCCTATCTGGTAAGTAAACAGATTTGTTTTTATAGAGGAAGGTTAAGTCTTTGAGACTTCAGATAGGCCAAGAGTGTAAGAGTTTCACTGAGACGTTTTCAATTTTGATGCTTTTCAATTGGCATACTTTATCAGAACAACTGTACTGTTTCAGTGATACATCTTTGGAAAACTAACTGTACAATAACCATAAGTTGCAATGTAATTACAAATGCTACTTCAGCATTACCCTTGATTAAATTAAAAATCAGAGCTGACAGTAATTACAACACCAAGACTTAGTAAAAATACCCTCCCCAATTCTTTTCACTGCTTCTTAACAGTACACGAAGACCGTGCTGAATTTGAAAATCCAGCTGTGATACACTATATTGTAGATTATATTTCATAATTCTCTTATTTTGGTATCATTTTATAGTGGATTTTTAACCCATTGTTCCATTCTTTGAGGTTTCAAACTGCATTGCCTGTCAGTTTTTAAACTCTGTTTAAAAGACTGCTTGTGTTATGCTATCAGTGACATCACAGTGATAGTAACTTTTGATGCAGACTACAACTAGTAAGATTGCATCTTTTTTGTTTGTTCTGTTTTTAATAGAGTTGGCAGTGCCACAGTAAAACCACAAGTGACTTTGCATTTATAACCTCTTCAAGTCTCGTTGCGACATCGGGACAGTCCAATGATAACAGGTGTGTTTAAAGAAACAATGAGGAATTTCACTAAAGCTACCTATTCATCTCCATTAATTTACTAGCTCTTGTGCATTAAATGTGGGGCTGACATTTTAAGGCTCAGTGTTCTAAGCTTTGTTACAGCTTGAACTTGCCAGATGATTCCTTTGAACATCATTCCTTCAGTTGCTTGTTTCCTAAATTTAGTTTTTGTGAGGAGTAGTCAACAGTTAACCATTTTTTTCAAGATGTACTCCAAATGAAACTAGTTTGACATGATGCTATTGCTGGGGGAAGAAATATGTTCATCAAAGGCAAGATAATTCTTTTTCTCTGAAAAGAGCAACTTCTATAATTTCTTGGTACAAGCTAGGATTAGTATGCATCTTAAAGGTAGAAAGTATAGTTCTACTAAGAAACATAAAAGAGCATAGAAAAAATTAAAGCTCTTAACTCTTTGCATATGCTCTCCAGTGACTGCAGAGAGTCAAGGGCTCCTTGTTCAGCTCTCTGTGTAGACTTGGACATAGAATGTGAACACTTTGTGTCATGTCACCCCAGGAATCACTTAGCAACAGGTCATAATGACTTTTTTTTTGCCCCCTCAGAAATGTGTGCCTCTGGGATACTTTGGTTTCATCTGGTAACAGTCTTATACATGGTAAGTACTGCAGTGAAAAACCTCCACTTCTTATTGAGTACAGAAATACAGCATGTGTATGCATTTGGGGTAAGGGGAAAAATTTGCACTGGGGGACTGGTCTAAATGTGTGCATGCACAAGAACTGGTATGTATAATCTCTAGCAAGATGTTAACCTGCTCTATATAGAAAAATATGAAGAAAGAAGGTCATACACACAAAGCTAGCTTTGTGACAGTATTAATAAAGCCTGAAATATCTGAATACAGTCCTAAAAAAAATTAACAGCTACTAATTAAGGCTGCATTATTGAACTCTCCTGTATGCAGGCTTTCACTTAAACTGGCACTTAATTTATACTCTGTTGAAGCATAGAGGAAAAGACAACTGTAGATAATAGTAGAAGCAACTCCTTCTTTCTGCTGTCCTTGTCTTTCAGCACTTGGACTGGATTCTTAAAAAGATGTTTGTGCGCATTTGACCAGTTCAATAATTTCATCTTCATGTAATGAACTAAACCAAAATTTGATCATGTTAATACATACAAATCCAAATATAATACTCTGGGCTTTTGAAAGAGCAAATTCAACCATCATAAACATCTGCGAACAACTGCAGTACTTGAGCGATCAATAGGTACATTCTGAGATTCATATTTTAAAACTAGCAGATTGCACAGTTCAGCCTCATTTTAAAGAAATTGAGTTAGGGCTCCCATGAACAATAGGTTAGAAAATTAGAATATAATAATACATATCTATAAGATAATTAATATTTAATTTTTTTGTTCAGCTACACTATTTTTTTTAACTCAGGAATTTAATTGAACTTAATATGGTCAAATTTTTAAATTCAGGTATGTTCCTGTATTCTACAATAAATTAGACTGCATATCATGCTTTCTTGTGTATTAGATCAATATAGCTATATATATTTTTGAGAGCAAAAAGCTGTCAGCTGATATGGCATTACCCATATGAAGGAATGCATCTGTCAAGTTAGAAAATATTCATGTAACAATTCATAGAATAAATGCATTTTAAGATGGAAAGCTACTTACAGTTTCAAATCTATGAAATTCTGACATCCTTCTTCTTCAGCCTTCACTTGTCATGATCACGGTGCCACAGTACTTCAGTATGCACCTAAACATCAACTGCTAATTTCTGGAGGTCGGAAGGGATATATCTGCATCTTTGACATCAGACAGAGGCAAATCCTTTACACCTTCCAAGCACATGAATCAGCTGTTAAGGCCCTCGCACTGGATCCATCTGAGGACTATTTTGTTACAGGCTCAGCAGAAGGTAACATGAAGGTAAGGCGAGGAGCTGAGTTGTATAGGAGAGCATTTAGCTAAAGGAATGTATTGACATATCTTGATCAGCATACTGTAAATAGCCAGATGAATGCGGTAAGAAACCAAAAACAAACCCAAAAAACCCAAACCTAGATTTGATATATGCTTGCCTTGCATTTATAATGTAAACTTAAATGTACTAATATCCTTCTAAAGCAAGGTGGGTTTTTTCCTCCGCTAAGGAAGATTAAACGGTCTCTTTAAAGTTGTGTAACTGAATTTTAAGTGGATAAAGCTAAGTACATGACTCTGAAATCTTAGCTTTATTTTCCTCTCTTAACAATGTTCTGGTTTTGCCTTTGGATACTTCTCTTTGTAATACAGGGGGCACTCAATAACTTCAACATCATGTAAAGTTTCTGTAATATCAAGTTCTGTTTTTTTCTCTTGATGCTGTAGTCCCAGACAGCTACTGAGACATCATAGCAGTAAGAACAAACAAAACCCAAGAAAAACCAAACAGAAATACAGTCCCTGTTTCAAAGACCTTATTTCCTGAATACTAAAGGAAGGAAATACAAGAATGTGGTAAAGAAAAGGAGAATACGGTTTCTGTCCTTTTAGCAGGGCTGCATACTAATAGGTGCTTTCTGTGCCTCCACACACTTCGTGGCCTGGTGTTGATGAGAGCTCCTGCAACCTAGGACACAACAGACAGTTCAGACAAGCTGTGCTACCCACTCTGCACGCTTACTCATTATGCAGCTTACTCTCCGCAGCATTCCTTAGTAGAAAGGCATTTCCAGCTGCTGGAAAGCTGACAATAGTCATCTTGGATAAAAATGCAACCTGTGCATTTCTGCAGCTTTCATGATGGGGAAGCTGGGAGGGGCACTACTGATCAGGTAACACAGGGCAGCTTCAGCCTGTGAGCAACCATCTGGTCCACATTAAGGTAGCCTTACGCTTCATCAGGAGCCTCTCAGGACTCTTGGACTTGTAATTGTTGCTAATAGACAACAAAAAATACCCTTTATCTTTGCTGAATAGGGTTTAGAACAGCCAGAAATATGAAACATTAAGGAAAAAATACAAATCCTAATTTTAATCTCCTTTTGTCATTCTTTTGATACAGGTGTGGAGACTGACTGGCTATAATTTAATTCATTCATTTAAAAATGAACACGCTAAGCAATCCATCTTCAGAAATATTGGTGCTGGTGTCACCCAGATTGAAACTGTGCAAGGCAACCGTATCTTCTCCTGTGGAGCAGATGGCACGCTGAAAATGAGGGTTCTTCCCAATGCTTTCAATGTACCTTCAGGCATTTTTAACATTCTGTAGCGTTATGTGAGCTAATCCTGGTTTTATATAATGTCCCTTTAAGTAGCTAAAGATCATAGTGATATGCACTGTAGAAAGGAAACAGAATGCTTCCTTTCAAAGCAGTAACTGCAGCATTAAGTACTACAGGTAAAAAGATTGAAAAAGAGACAGACTTTTACAACAGGTGTATTTTGAGTATGCCCATAAGGATCACTGAGATGGAAATGCATGTACTGTATTGTAAAAGCAAAGAATTAAACTCAGTACAGTCAGTCATAGGTGGGGTTATTGCTCAGTAACCCACAAGCTGCATTTAGTAAGTGTATTGTAAAGATTCTGACATTCGTCAGTCACTTAAAAAGCACTGTGGCTCTACAAGTCAGTAAGCATTTCTGATGTGATTTTTATTCCTGTTTTTCCCACTAATTCAAGCATGTGAACAACTTCTTATTGTAAAATAGTTTAGTTTTAATTAAGGATACTCAGTGTATTTGAAGGTGTAATGGATGCAAATGCCATGGAATATGTGCAATCGAGAACGTATTGGGACATGTATCATTTTATGCTGAGAATTTTTTCCCAGTTAGTATTAATACACAGTTTACACTGTAACTTGCACATCAACACATTTTTAAATGCGATGTTTTTTAATTTGCACACTATTTTCCTTTCTTTCTGACAGCTATGTTTTCTATTGGACACCTGCCTTTACTTTAGGAATGTATGGTAAGCACTAAATGTTTGTAGTGAAGACATCCATTATTCTAGTCAGCTTTAAGTTTTGAAATTCACTTGTCCAGAAAATACTTCATTAAATGAAGCTGTTAAGAGAATACCAATGGAACATATAATGCCACATTTCAGATGAATGTCAGGCTTTATGTGGCCAGCTAGTAACTAGTGGATAAATCTGGTAATTCAATTATTACCACAGTATATTGTATAAACTATGCAGAGTTCGATATTGTTTGCTTGTAATATAACTAGCTACTGTCGTCAGATGTATTTTTCTGTTGTAAACAAAAAACATGTTCTTAAGAGACGGGAACAGATATCTGCATATTTAAATGTTAACAAACTGTCTTATTCCTCCAATGAAAATGTTGATGTCTGTGCTGTATTGTAAAAAATACTAGAATTAAAAGCACCTTTCTCCAAAGGTGATTTTAAATTGCAGGCTGTGAAGTATGGGAAGTATGAAAAGAAAGAAGAGTAAATGCCATTGTTTAGTTTTCCCTTTGTAAGTTAAATAAATTACTTTTATTTCATGGAACAGTCCATTCCAGAACTCTTCCTTATATTTATACAGATTTAACTAAACCTCCAGTGTACTGACTGGATACTGCCTGAGCCAGCTCTTTAACTTGACCTCAGACTGTACTGAGATAAAAAGGATTAACTGTTTACATTTTATTTTCAGCTGTCCTAGAAAAGCATAAGGTTAACAGAATTTAGTTCTTCATCTCCAACAAAGGCAGCTGCAAGAAACACAGCCTGGTTCTTTCACTGAGAAGAGGCAGAATTTTCTGGCCCTCCTCCAAGACATTGATCTGAGTGGTTCAACAACGACATTCAGAAATTTAACATGATTTAAGATAGGCACATTATCTAGAAACTGTCACATCTGGCTTGAACAGTACTTGCCCAAGTATATTGCCAAGTTGGGTTTTTTGTAGCCAAAAAGTCTACTTTATTAGTACCATAATTCATTTTTTTTTTTCAAAACAACAACTCCCCCCCC